ATGGCAGGGGCGCGGATTGATGGCGGGATGGCCAGCAGGCACTGCCGAGCAGCCCGCGGGCCGAAGGGGCCATCAGGAACGAGCCCGGGAGGTGCCGAGGAAGGCCTGGGAGCCTAGCCATCAATATTGATGGCTACCTGGCCCTCGGCAGGTGCCGTACTTTAGCCTGGTACCCTATTATTTAATGCCTGCAGTATTGAATAGATTAATGACAATTTATTCGAATTTATGAGCCATTTACTAGGGCTCGGTAGCTAGCCCTGGCTCAGTTAACCACCATGCACTGACTATTGTCACAATCTACTTAGTTTTTTGACAACCACGGCCCTGTCTATCACGTCATCTTCCATCTGGAGCGACATCGTGTGCTGCGTGAGTGATGTCCGGCGATCTCAGACATTGCGCCACTGTTTCAGTCATTTGGATATGCTAGCGGATGCAATGAGACCTGAGTCGAGACTCCAGCTGAAAAGAAGGATGTTGGACGGTCTCAGAGGAAGATCCTCTCTTCCGTCCCCCCATTTCTACACTGCGTAGAACCAACGAACGATCTTTTCGTCGCGGAGAATCTATTCAGTGCGGGATATATCATGGCAAGTGTTCATGTTCGGTCTCTTGTTATACGAAACATGAACACCATGCAGGCATCTGTACACGATCTTCCTGACGAAATAATTCTACTTGTCTTCGCCTATCTGAAGAAAGGGCTTCCAGCCGGTCGCTATAATAAAGCTCTGCGTCGAACGGCATTGGGTTGGGTTAAGGCGGGTCATGTGTGCTCGCGCTGGCGCCAGGTTCTCTTAGAGAACGCAACCCTATGGACGGACGTTACATCGTTCTACGACGTCGGCGTCATCGAGGAATTTAAATCAAGATCTAGGGACGCACTGCTAAACCTGGACATTGATTTATTATGCGACCACGCTCTTGGACGCTCAGCGGATAGTCGGGTGGTCGAATACCTGACTCAAGATGACCTGTGGGAGAGATCATTCCGGGTCAAAATCGACGATGCACGCAGCGTTCGCTACCGTGACTACCTGCCAAGCCTTGCATATCCCACGATCGTTCGCGCACTTACGCGGACCTCACTCACCAATCTCGTCGAACTGAGGCTGTTCATACCTCGAGAAGCCGGGCAACTACACGTGCTCTCCGCACCATGTCTGCGCACCCTCTGCCTGAAGTCGGACGCCGCCGAAGCATGGCAGTGTCTCCTGGTGTTTGAAACGTTCGCAGACTTCTTGTCTGAGTCGCGACATCTGCAACACGTACAGCTGCAGCGCGCAGTAGATTCAAGATTCTCCGGCCGATACCAAGCACGCCGCCAAACCCCGCTACTCGCTCTTCAACATGCGGAGTTCGACTGCTTCGACGAAGGGCTGGTGGCTCTTATATCCCAACATTGCTTTCTTTTGCCGGGTGCTTACTCAAACCTTGACATCTTCGGCGTCAGAGTCTTGAACTACGCCATTGCGCTGGTTACTTCCTTTATGCAGTGCTCGTCTACCACAGTCAGTGCCCGTATCGCGCGGCAGCGCGAGCGTGCATATGCTTTAGACGGCGTATTTCTCTCCTATCGCTCCGAGTTTTATGCCCTGCGTCTTGCCTTCGCCAGAGGACGTCGGGTAACCTGGCGTAAGGACCTTGCGGAGCCCTCATGGACTTGGGATGACTTCGCGAATGCGTACGATTGCCAAGCCATCTCTTCTCTTCACCTTCATCATTCCCTCTACATTTCACCTGAGGATGACCCTTCACAAACCAATGATCAGTTGTCAACAACACTGCTGCGCTCTTTAGGGGGTCTCCAAGAGCTGAACATCGAGCACGAATCCCACTTCGACTTCGTCAGGAGTCTTCCAATCACTCCAGGTCTAAAAGTCATCTCCGTGAAGGATCCGTCCGTTTGTGACCTGGTACACCTGTGGCACTTTATACGAAGACAGGAACAAACCCGCTCAACTGTGGATGTCACACTCACCGGACGCGTGTTTGACGACGACGTTATCATGGCAGAACAGCGCGCGTACGACGAGGCGCCCCTGCTTGCTGCCGTTGGGGTCTTGTGCAACTTAAACGACAGAAGGGTTATTCGACATCGTGCACAGTATAGGTAGATTACTTGTTAAATAGACAGAGAGATGCGTATTCAAACTGTATGCCGGTACAGGCGGTCGTAAACGATGCGTGTCTACAGCGAGGAAAACAATGAAGCCGTTCGAAATGGAGGCGATGCTTTGGGATTGTGATCACGTGCTGCGGATCATGTGAATGAACTTGACCCCTGGGAACTGATAGGCGTGCTTGAGCGCACTTCAGCGCAGCTGAGCGCATTTGGTCTTGACCGCCGTCGTCTCCCAAAACATCATGGTGCGTGGACCTCTCCTCTGACATAGCAATGCCTGATAGCTGTACACAGACTACTATCCAGAATTTGCCCGCTGAGACGATGCTTAATATATTCTTCTACTTGGCCGCGGCATGGCCGGCCGGAACGTATAGTCGTACCGACGGCGCGGTACGGTTAGGATGGGTGTCTGCGGGACACGTCTGTCATTCGTGGCGTTCAACTTTGCTGGGGTCAAGCACGATCTGGGCCCTTTGGTTAACCTCTTTCTACAACGTCGACGTCTTTAAAGTTTTCTTGCGGAGGGCCGGGCAAGCTGCGCTGTGGATAGACCTCGGTCTCTTGGACGAAAACGCAAACGGGAGGGCTGTTAACAGTGGCGTGATAGCGGCAGTCCTGGCGCCTGAGCTATGGACCAGAGCGTACGCCATCGTCGTAAACTATCGCCAAAATTGTCGCATCCGATACTCGGAGACCGTCGCGAGCAGATTATGCTCAGTCTCTCTGGGCTACCTGCGGATTCTCAACATCTTCCTTCCAAAAAAACTCCATGTCTCTGGAACCATACACGCGCCGCATCTGGAGGAGCTATCGGTGACGTCTGATGCCGATTATCTTGCGGCTTGTCCCTTGCCCATAGACAAGGTACAATACATGTTCGACTCTTGTCGACATCTTGCAGTCGTCCGCTTGATACGCTGCGTGGACACGCGCAATTTAAATGATGGGTCGCTTCATAGCGCGCATACTCGCACTCAATTACGAGAGCTGCACATCGAGAGCATGGACGAAGCCCTACTAAAGGTTATTCATGCGTACTTTACCATCGGACGTGAATCTAAAGTCCTGATTGACACGCGGTCGCCGTCCATCCTGACCACCACTATCGAACAATGTCTTGGCCGATTTGGCTACTCGCCAGACACACTGGACTCTCTCGAGATCATGTATGACCGCGAAACTATATGCCATCACGCACACGTGGTTCTCGGACCAGATTTCTTTGCCCTGTACATGCGGCCTTGCGATGATTACACTGCGATCGTCCGGATGAGTAGCAATCACAACTCGTGGTCGTGGGGAGACATCGCGGCGTTATTACCATGCAGAAAAATTATTAATTTGAAACTGTCTAACCCCAACGACAACCATTGTCATCACGCTCTGCCTCCTCTCGATCTATTGCGCGAATTGCGGGGCTTGCAACGCGTGACGCTGTCCGACAGGCAGAACATCCGATTCCTTAACGATCTTCCACTCGACGCTCCTATTTCGACCGTCGTAGCATCTCTACCATCCGGAACTAATAACGAGGACTTATCGGATATATGGCATTGTCTGGACAGGCGGGAGGTTTACCTCGAGCCCATGACGCTTATTCTGGACGGCGTGCTGAACACGACCAAGGACATTAGGCGTTATCGTCATTTAGAGATGCCGCTGCTGGTGGCACTAACCGAGTTCGTGGCTGTAAAAGACTGCAGGACGTACAAGCAGATCAGATGAAGTGCTGCGTGTGGAGGTCGGTCCGTAC